ATCAGAACGATTAGATAAATACGCGCGATAAGACAAATCACGAAGAGAAAGAGCAAGCCTAATATTACTGGAATTCATCCAATCAACATCGTCATACCTAATTCTCTTTCTAACAATAGGGACACAAGAAAAGAGCAAATAAGGGAGATTAGATATAGAGGAACATTGGTAGTCGACATCGCCAGAAAAGAATTGTGAGAAATCGAAATTAGACAACCGCAAATGTAATTCATCCCAATTAATAAGGTTAAAGTCGCGATATTCATAATACTCATTAACACGTTCAGCCCTAATATAAAAAGAACAAAATAGTAATACATGATGAGAAATTGATGGGCATAGCATTTGATCAGAGGGATATACAGAAGAAATATCACTTACTAACCAAAAGTCAATTAACGAAGTGGAACCGTGCGCAATATCAAAGTGCGAGGGTCGAGAATTATGAACTAATGACAAATTACATCTATGGCATAGCGAACGCATGGCACAAGACTTTGCAATGTCAAACATATTACAGTTGAAGTCACCAACAACAATAAAGTTTGAATAAGAAGAAAAGAGATTATGATGAAAACTTTTAAATGATCCAATATCCCCATGTGGTAAGTAAACCACACCAATAAGAAAAACACTATCATTGAAGCACAATTCAACAAATAAAGACTCACAAACGCCTACATCTGAGATTTTAAAAACTTGTTTGTACCTGATCTTACTAAATATATAGATCCCAACACCACCACCTCTTATAGCTAAGCGATCATTCCTGCAAAACATAAATCCAGGAATCTCAACAGACTGACTAGAAATATCCGGCTTAAGCCAGGTTTCAGTAACCGCAAACACATCCAAAAAAGAATGATTTACAAACGATCTCAATTCATCAATTTTTGAGTAATTACTTGTAGGTTTAATGCTCTGGCAATTAAGATGAGCAATATTAATATTTTGGTTATGATTATGCAATACACTTCTCATATAATCATTACTACTGAATGAAAGACCACTACTTAGGTCAAGAGCCATTTGATTCAAGTGAAAAAGTTAAAATGGGGAACCAACGACAATAGAATAAATTATAATAGCTATTAACAAAAATCATTATAATTACACAAAAAGAAAATTAAATTACTAATTGTATACAGCTAATCATTAGTTATATGTATATGAGATCAAACAAGTTAGAGTGCTATATTCGGCTGAGCCGAATCTTAAATACCCTCTACCAGCTACTTTTATATTAATACTTTTTTAATTGATCAAATATTTGTAGAAATAAGTTTTCTCGTGTCTTAAATAGAAAAAACTCAAGATTTAAACAGCTTAAATCTGTTACAATTCCAAGATTTATTGAACATTACAAACCCCATTTTTCTTTTATATTTTTATAGCGCCCTAAGATATGCTTTAACGATATTTAATAATGTGCATGTATGCATGTGTGTGAAAGATTTAAGTATTTTCAAAATACATATATATACAATTTTGTTCTACACAAATTGATAATGCAACTAGTTAAAGACGGTTAAATTGCTTTTAGGGGCAGGACCTAGTATGGGAGATATGAGCAATTATAGACTGATCGTAAAAAATTCTTTAAGCAAAATTTCTGTACATAAATGCTATATTTCAGTCAAATTTTGTATCTATATCGTAATTTAGTAATAAGTAATGTGTGTTCAAGTGATTTTCAGAAGGGACACTTGCATGGGACCGACCGCACCCATGTTATGAACCGATCGTGAAAAAATCTTGAAATAGAATTTTTGTATACCAAACTAATATTTGTGCCAAATTTTGTATCAATAGCTTTATTTGGTAATGAGTCATGTGCGTTTAAGATATTTACGTAAAAGGACCTTGTATGGGAGCTATGACCAATTATGTATACTAGAGTTCGCCCAGCGGTCGAAATTCGACCAGAACCAATGCTGGAAAAATTGCATAAATAAGCTAAAATAAAACCCTATTTTTGTAGTTCAAATCTGTGGTAAAAAATTAACTTTATTGATATTATCAAAGTGTATAATTTGCTTTGAATAATGTTTTCTTTTAGAAAATGTGATGGGTTTTAGTAAAACTTCCATCAGAAATTTAAAACCTCAATTGTCAAAATTAGTTATACAACTTGTTTTACAAAAGTACTTCAACTATTTTAAAAATAATAAAAAATAACGAACATTTCTTCTATCGACTTATTATCCCCTACATATTTACGCATCGTTCACAATGCTGGAGTACTCTACTGTACAGTGTACACACCAGTAAAGAAATGTTAGCTGTTCAAAATACAGAGTTGAAATGTTCTAAATAATTTGTGAAAACAGTAAAAATATTTAAAATAAATAATGTTGTTATGAATTAAATGTGATCTGAATGCATTTTAAGTATATTTAACTGAAATAATTAATTTTATTATCGTATTTTTAAAATTGGTGAATTTGAATATTTGTATATGTAAACATTGTCATGTTAGTTATTTACACGTCTAGTGTTTTCGTTTTATTTTACCATTTACACGTCTAGTGTTACCATCTTTATACATTAATTACTTGTAAAGTGTAAACCATGTCTTTAGTTACATTTTGATATTACATTGCAACATTGTTACTTTGATACAGCGATTCGACTGCGAACATTCTTTCTAGAAAATTCGCCAGGAAAATAGAGTGTTACAGCCGTAACGTATGAATTGCAGCCGCAATAACAATTTTTTATTATACAATTATTGGAATTGTATGCCTTTTCTGGAAAGTTTGATCTATAAAATTACTGCCGCCGTATGTCTTCCGGTCGATTAAATAAGATGTCTCAAGAGAAGACCCCAAGAACACGTGAAGCCAGCGTTGATCCACCTGCCGCTAGTACAGATAATGCCGAGTCGTCACATAGTGAAGATGATCATGAAAAGACTGTTGTACAAAGCGATGCCATTGCGGAAATGAGAGAAGAAATTCGAATATTAAAAATGTCGTTGGAAATGTTCATGAAAAATTCTGCCTCTCAACAATCGTACAAAGCCCCTACACCAAATTTTCTCCCAGGAACGAGTACAGACTTACCTCACTCAAACACAACGCCTACATCATCTTCGACGTATCCTGCCACAGACCATAAGCCATTGCCAGCGCAAAACACACATATACCACCATCGCCTCAGTATACCTTTACGCCGTCTCATCACACAGCATATATGTCGCCTCATTTAACGCAGCCTTTACCGTCTACTATGTCACGTCCAACAACATCAAATCCTTTGAATGCTCTAGGAGTTACAACTACACCATTGCCTGCGGATCAGCCTACTCTGCACCCTTTTCGTAAATTGTATGACCTGCCTGAATTTAGTGGACAGCCGGAACAATGGCCAATGTTTGCCGTGTCTTATAGGGAAACTACTCAGCACTACAATTATACCAAATTGGAAAATTTGTTCCGTTTGCAAAAGGCCTTAAAGGGTAATGCCAAGGCAAAAGTGGAAGCTTACCTTATTCACCCCGAAAGTGTAGATCAGGTGATGAATACTCTTGAATTTTATTATGGCCGTCCGCATATTATGATTCGTAGTCAAATTGCTAAAGTAAGAGCATTCCCTGCCATTTCGGGAAGAAAAATATCGGATATTGTAAATTTTTCTTCCATGGTCGCAAATCTTACCATATTTTTAGAGAATGCTGGAGCCACACAACATCTGTTAAATCCGACATTACTCGAAGAACTCGTAAATAAGTTACCTCTTACAAGGCGTGAGGAATGGGTGAAATATTCATTGCACAACTTGGGCCAATACCCAACAGTAAGACAGTTTAGTGAGTGGCTGCATAATATTGCTACTTACATATCAATGGCAACCGAAATGGATCCGAGTAGCGATGAAGTTGTGAAGAACAAAGTAAACAAATTTAAGCCAGCACTAGCTATCACAGTCGACGACCGCAGTCAGTTAGGATGCCTGATGTGCCATGTTAATCATCATCTTAGCCAATGTACAAAATTTAGGAATATGTCTACAGCACAAAGATGGAAATTTGTGAAAGAGAACCGGTTGTGTTTTGGTTGCTTATTACCTGGTCACTGTTCCTTTCAATGCAACTCTCGCCGTCAATGTTGTATATCAGAATGTGGCTGATATCATAATCGTTTGCTTCACGAAAAAGGGATCAAAACAAATGACAATAATAATAAGACAAATAAGCAATCGATTACAGCTGTTAGTGGTGATACAGCAGAAACACCCGAACAGAATGAAAGCGATAGCGTATCAGTAACGACAATTATAAAAAGCAGCTTAGGAAAGAAAACGTTATTTAAGTATTTGCCAGTACGATTGAGGGGTCCAAATGGTAGCGTGGATATAGTAGCTTTTATTGATGATGGATCGAAAGTTTCACTACTAGAAGAAGACATTGCTAAGGAAATTGGTTTAGAGGGACCAACCACTAATTTATCGCTGGGATGGATAGGTGGAAAAAGGTCAAACGAGATGTCAATGAAAGTAGAATTTGAAATTTGTAATGTTAATGATAACAATAGTAGCTTTCATATGAGGAATGTTAGAACAACAAAGCATTTAAAATTGCCGCCACAAAGTTTACAACTTCAAGCATTTAAAGAGAAGTTTTCCAAACTTAAAGAATTTGTCATTGATGAATATTATGAAATAATACCGAAGTTGCTCATTGGTTTGCCTCACGTAAGACTGGTTCGTCCTCAACGGCTGATAAATTTGGACGAAAGTTTTTCTGTACATAGAACAGTTTTGGGAGATATTCTGTTTGGTTCCAATGAGGATAGCATTGAATCCAATCATGTGTTTCTGATTGAATGTGACACTATGGATGACATCAGACAACAGGTGTCAGAATATTTTACATTAGAAAGTTTTGGGATGAAACCAGTAAATCCTATTATTTCTAATGATGATTTGAGAGCCGAAAAAATATTGAAGGATACCACTGTTCTGAAAGGACTACAATATGAAACTGGTCTGTTATGAGATGTTTCACCGTGTACTTATCCGCAAAGAGGATCAAACAGCTCAGCGTTTTTTATGGCGATCAGGTGACAGTACTACTAAGCCAGATGTATATGTAATGCAGGCAATGATTTTTGGATCTGCTAGTTCACCGTGTTCCGCGCAATATGTAAAAAACTTAAATGCAAAGCGATTTGAAAAAACGGATGCCAGAGCCTATAAAGCAATTGTAGACTGCCACTATGTTGACGACTATGTTGATAGTTTCGACACAATTGATGAGGCTATTTCCGTCACTAGATGTGTAATAAATATTCACCAAAAAGCCAATTTTGAGATAAGAGGATTTGTCTCTAATTCACTTGAGTTTTGTCGTTCTATAGAAGGACCAGATTATGTTAACGAATTGGAATTAAAGAACCTCAGTAAAGGTGAATCGATGACAGAAAAAGTATTAGGGCTTTTTTGGGCACATAATGATGACACATTTTGTTTTATTTTAAAATTCTCAAGAGTTCCTGAAGCGGTGTTAAATGACAGTCGAAAACCTAGCAAACGTGAAGTACTTAGTTTGGTTATGTCAATATTCGATCCGTTCGGCTTCTTAGCAAACATTGTTATAAGGTCCAAAATAATATTACAAGAATTATGGATCTGTAATGTTGACTGGAGCTCCCCTATTCCGGAAAAAATATATAAAAAATGGCATGAATGGTACCATGAACTTAAGAATGTGCGCAATATTAGGATCTCTAGGTGTTATGGAGCAATGTTTTCCGATCCCGCAACTGTAATTGAACTTCATATTTTCGTGGATGCAAGCGAAGTCGCTTTTGCTGCTGTTGGTTATTGGAGAATGCGGTTATTAGATAGTGTTGAGGTGATATTTGTTGCTGGGAAGTCTAAGTGTGCCCCTATAAAACCCCTTTCGATCCCAAGACTGGAACTACAAGCTGCAGTACTTGGTGTAAGACTAAAAGAGGCTATAGTTTCCAGCCATGATATTAAGCCGACAACAATAACATTTTGGTCAGATTCGAGAACAGTGGTGAAGTGGATTCAGTCAGATTACCGCGTTTATAAACAATTTGTCTCTCATCGGATTGCGGAAATTTTAGAGCAATCAGAGGTCGACCAATGGAGATGGGTTCCTGGGTCCCAAAACCCTGCTGATGATGCGACAAGGCCCCAATATTTTTCAGGAAATGTACAGGAATCTCGATGGTTAAACGGTCCGTCTTTTTTAAAATATGATGAAACTAAGTGGCCAAAATTAAGTGGAGAAGCCGATAAACAAATATATGAATCTGAGGTGCGAACAAAGTTTTTATTGTTTATGGCTGAAGCTCACCCCTTAATACCGTATGGAGAAAAATCTAAGTACTACAAGCTACTGAGAATAAGGTGTTGGTTTGTTCGGGCCGTTCAAACATTTAAATGTTTTGTTACACATCAAGATAAATCTACTTTGAATTTTAAGCCATATATTACTATTCAGGAAATAAATGAGTATAACGTACTGAAAGCTGGCAAACCTATATCCAAAAAGAGCAGTATATATAATTTGAACCCGTGTATTAAAGATGATGGTTTATTGCGAATTTCAGGTCGTATTAGTAAAGCGACATGTGTTGGTCTATCCACTAGAGAGCCCATTATTATGCCCAAGAATCATTTGATCACCAGATTAATAGTAAGACAATTTCATGATAATTTTGTACACCAAAATCAGGAGGCTATTTGTGCTGCAATTCGTAGCAAGTTTTGGATTCCCAGTTTAAGGCAATTAGTCAGAAATGTCAAGAAAAACTGCCAGGAGTGTAAAAATAGATCTGCAGCCCCCAAACATCCATTAATGGGTCAATTGCCGGTAGATCGTCTAACCCCGTTTGTTAGGCCTTTCACATACACGGGAATTGACTACCTCGGCCCGTATACGGTGTCCATAGGCAGAAGATGTGAAAAAAGGTGGGTGTCACTTTTTACATGTATGACAACGAGAGCAATCCACCTTGAACTGGCAAGAGACCTCTCAACAAATGCAGTGATTTTATGTATCAGAAATTTTATTAATAGAAGAGGCATTCCGATAAGAATAAGAAGCGATAGAGGTACCAATTTCGTTGGAGCCAGTAAAGAAGACTTCGTGAAAATTGAAACGGAGTTGGGTGATGAGTGTACGCGTCGAGGCATTGAATGGGTATTTAATACCCCGGCTGATCCCTCAGCAGGTGGTGTCTGGGAAAGGATGGTCCGCTCAGTGAAGAATGTGTTGTCGTTCACTCTAAAGGAAAAATCGCCACAACTTGATACATTGAATAGCCTATTAATTGAGGCTGAAAATCTAGTGAACTCACGTCCATTGACGCATCTACCTATTGACAGCTCAGATAGTGAACCGCTTACGCCGAATCATTTTTTGATCGGATCTCCTAACATTGTGCAAACCCCTGCAGTGGACGAGAAGGTTTGTCTCCGGAAGCAGTGGCAAATTTTACAGCAGCTTAAACAGACATTCTGGAAGAGATGGGTTCTGGAATATTTACCCGATTTAACAAGGCGTACAAAATGGTATCAACCAGTAAAACCATTGCAAGTAGGCGATGTTGTGATTATATGCGATGAGACCGAGGAACGTGGCAAATGGAAGCGTGGCGTGATAGAGGAAGTCAGTACAGCGGCTGATGGGCAAGTTCGATCAGCGATGGTTAAAACTTCAAATGGAAGATTACGACGTCCTGCTTCAAAACTAGCCGTGCTCGATGTGGTTAGTGAGTCTCCCTGATCGACTCACGGGCGGTGGATTGTTATGAATTAAATGTGATCTGAATGCATTTTAAGTATATTTAACTGAAATAATTAATTTTATTATCGTATTTTTAAAATTGGTGAATTTGAATATTTGTATATGTAAACATTGTCATGTTAGTTATTTACACGTCTAGTGTTTTCGTTTTATTTTACCATTTACACGTCTAGTGTTACCATCTTTATACATTAATTACTTGTAAAGTGTAAACCATGTCTTTAGTTACATTTTGATATTACATTGCAACATTGTTACTTTGATACAGCGATTCGACTGCGAACATTCTTTCTAGAAAATTCGTCAGGAAAATAGAATTGTGTAAGTTAGTTTTTAGAATTAGAATAATATTTGGATTAATGTATTTCTAAACTCGTTTAGATAATAAAACCTACCAACCTACCTATCTACCAACAAATTTAAGAGAAAGTAAATCAGTCTGTGTACTTATTCACTTAGCGTTTTATTATAATTCTTATGAGAGTGTTACAGCCGTAACGTATGAATTGCAGCCGCAATAACAAATGTCTTATCTAATTATAAATAAATTTTATTTGGATGTCATTAGTAGTCCATCCAACAGGTATATGTTGTATAAATTTTCCCTTATAACACTCGACAAAGACTTCAGCAGACATACATTTATTCAATTTTAATGTCTTCTAATAGAATTTAATAGTAGATATTCTACGAGGCCTTCTAATGGGCCTTTTATTAGCCTTCATATAGAACCGCATAACGATATGCATTGGCTTCCAATTACACACTGATTTTGTATATGCATAATAAGGCCTTAATTTCTCAAGTACTGTTTTTAGTACTGTTTGAAAGAAAACATTAATAAACTATAAATTTCAGTCTTTTGTTAATATATGCAAGCTTTAATAGCAAGTAAATGAATAATAAACGATAAATTGCTAAGTACGGTTAAACACTCTTCATCCCAAAAGACATGATTTATATTTAGCAGTTTCAACTTGTATCTATTTTTATATAACAAATAACCATCACATATTCAACTTACAGTTTTCACTTTACACTACTATTTCCTAATTGGTTAGAATAGCCCAAAAAAAGAAGAATATCATCAAGTCCTCGCTGTGCTAAACCTGCATATAAGCGATATACATATCCATTTATTGCGGTGTATCATATACCGGCATGACCAACTAAACTTTACTTATATTTTTTACAGGCTATTTTTATTTCTTACTGACACTGAATCAATTCGTTAATCCATCATTTAAATCTTCCAAATCAATCAAAACTAATAATTATGTACCGCAATTCAGTATTTTTTTTAACTACAACATTTTGTCGTTATGTGGTATGTATTCTGAACTTCATTTCACCGATTTTTTTCTTTAAACATAATCGAAAAAGTAAAAAATAAATTAAAAGTTCACGTTAATAATTTTATATTTTAAAAATATTTCAATACATAACTTTTGACATTCTTATATTTTTCCGATATTTGTCTTTAAAATATTCTACGGTTGTTAAAAGGTTAGGGAAATTCGTTAATGTAACTGATATTTGTCATTACTTTTAGATATCAATACTTAAAATTAAAAAAAAAAAAAAAATACTGAATTCCGGTACTGATGTCCTACCAATAATTTTCCAGTTCAAACACCAATATCAGTACATTGTTTGGCATTTCTTTAGGTGTCTCCAAGCATTATTTACGCATGTTTTTATATTCCCAGTTCGTTGTTTCCTCGGGAATGTCCTTCAATTTAACTATTTTGAAAAGTTTGAATAACGAAAAACTTCCAATCGAAAACTCTGAATATAAAACTGAAGTCCTACTTCTTATAAAAATATTCCTTTCGATTTGGTAACAATCGTAACGATATTATAACAAAATAGATCATTATCTCATTCACAACTTAGCACTTTACACAAAAATATAAAACAATAAAATCCTATTTTCGCGTTGCCTAAGCCTTATTAAAAACAACAACAAAAACAAATATCATGCAAAATACAAAAATCAAACAGCAACAGAGAAGTTAAACGTTTCTGCACTCTCCTCTCTTTTTTCAAAAAGCCGTGTTGTTTACTTTTTTTGTTTTGTTTCTTGTTTTGTTTGTTTTTAATTTCAAGAATACGTACGTGTGACTATTGTTTCTATGTATTAGTAACAACTTTAAACTCTTATAGCTCCTAAAATTCTGAACCGATCTCATTAATATATATATTGTGCACATCTGCGAACAAATACCTTTAAAATGATATAATTTTTGCCAAGATCAGATGTATACTGTAAGAGTAAAAGGGGTCACAAAAAATCGTCTTGCCTATTAATTATATAGATAAATACAAAATTTCAAAATTCTGTATCTATATCATTATTTGGCAATGAATATTGTGCATTTAAGTGATTTTCTATGAGAGCTATGACCAGTTATGGACCGATCGCAAAACAATTTTATAGTGTAATTTATGTATATAAGAGCAATATTTGTGCTAAATGTATGGATATCAATATTTTGTAATGAGTTATGTACGTTTAAGTGATTTTCGGGAGGGGACCTTGTATGGGAGCTATGACCAATTATGAACCGATCCGAAAAAACTTCCATAATAATATTTCTGTATATGTGAGCAATACTTGTACCAAATTTTATATGGATATCTTAATTTAGTAATGAGTTATGTGCGTTTAAGTAATTTTCGGAAGGGGACCTTGGATGGGAGCTATGACCAATTATGGACCGATCGGAAAAAAAATTTAACAGTAATATTTCTGTGCATATGAGCAATACTTGTACCAAATTTTATATGGATATCTTAATTTAATAATGAGTTATGTGCGTTTTAGTGATTTTCGGGAAGGGTCCTTGTATGGGAGCTATGACCAATTATTGACCGATGTGAAAAAAATTTCACAGTAATATTTCTGTACATATGAGCAATACTTGTACCAAATTTAATATGGATATCTTAATTTAGTAATGAGTTATGCGCGTTTAAGTGATTTTCGGGAAGGGTCCTGGTATGGGAGCTATGACCAATTATGGACCGATCGGAAAAAAATTTCATAGTCATATTTCTGTGCATATAAGCAATACTTGTAACAAATTTGATATGGATATCTTAATTTAGTAATGAGTTATGCGCGTTTAAGTGATTTTCGGGAGGGCACCTTGTATGGGAGCTATGTCCAATTATGGACCGATCCAGAAAATATTTTCTCTGAATGAATTCTATTGACATATGATTTTAATTTGTAAAATTTTATGAATATATCGACATTCTGACGGAAGTTATTAACAAAAAACCCATTTTCCGGGAATATGTACTTTTGTATGGGAGGTATATGAAATTGTGGACCGATTCTGGCAATTTTCAGCAGGAATTAAGATCTTGCGTAGAAACGAATGTATGATGACTTTCATGAAATTATCTTGCATAGTTTTCGAGAAAATTACATCAGAATGTGTAAAAAATGCTTATTTTTTCGAGGTTGTTTTAAATTTTGATTCATAACTTTTCCCGGTGTGAACCGATTTTGCTCATTTTCAATACCAAACTGCTTAGGGCAATAATGAATATTTTCGGTGAATTTCGTTGATTTACTTTGCTTCGTTTTAACGTGAGCGTGTTTTATACAGACAGACAGACGGACAGACGGACATAGCTAAATCGACACAGAATTTCATAAGGACCAAGAATATATATACTTTGTTGGGTCTCAGATGAATATTTCTCAGTGTTACAAACGGAATGACAAACTTATATATACCCTCTATCAACACTGATGGTGGTGGAGGGTATAAAAAATAGGTAAACTAGCAAAAAAATAAAAAAATTGAAGTTCAACAAAAATAACTATACAAAATAATAAAAGTTATCTAAATTAAAAGGCTGTAGATATTTAAAATTAAAATTGTAAATAATAATTCTAAAATAGGAATGAAAAACAATTACATTTAAATTCGTGTACAGGCTAATGCAAAAGTAGAATATAAAGGAAGTAATTATTCTTTCGCATACTTCACTCTAAAACAGCCTTTTAATTTAAATTACATTTTGATTCGAATCAAAAAAGGTTTTAAAAATAGTTAACATAGATAATTAGGTTTGATAGCAAAAAATAAAATTACTAACAAATATTTAACAAGTAAGAAAGTATAGTCGGGCGTGGCCGACCATATGATACCCTACACCAGTTATGAATATTAAATGTGATTTATTTTTCATAATATCGCATTTATCTTCAATATTCCCTTGTTCCGATACATTTAAGCAATTTATGGATGAAAAACTAATTTTCTGAAAGAGGCTTTATATGGGGGCTAGGGGCAAATATGGACCAAGCCCGATAAAATTTTGTGAATATATTTATATTTACATAATATTTTATTGTGCTGAATTTCATCGCGATATTTGTGTTTATAAGTTAATTTGGGACATTCAAGTAATTTTCTGAAGGGGACTTTGTATGGGAGCTAGGGTCAAATGGGGCCCGATCTTTATGAAATTTGGCAGGGTTATCAAGACTTCCATAAAACTTAGTTGTGCCGTATTTTATCGATATATCTGTATATTTAACATAATTATGAGCTCAGAAGCCCTTTTCGGGCGGTTCTGTTCTATGGGGGCTAGGTGAAATAATGGACCGATTTTAACCATTTTCAATAGGCTTCGTCCTTGGGTCAAATATGCGTGCCAAATTTCATCCAATTATCTTGAAAATTGCGACCTGTAGCTTGCGCACAAGGTTTACATGGACAGCCAGCCAGCCAGCCAGACGGACGGACGGACATAGCTTAATCGACTCAGAAAACGATTCTAAGCCGATTGGTATACTTTAAGGTGGGTCTAGGACGAATATTTTTATATGTTACAAACATCAGCACAAATCCAATATACCCTCCCCACTAAAGTGGTGTAGGGTATAAAAACGATGTAGTAAAGAATCACATTCAACGGCGTTATGAATCACCACATTT